CACTTCCAGGTGGTATTTGCTAAGGGAGGCAAAGTTCTGTTTTTCTAAATTTTCCTAAATGAGTTGATGTTTATGAAGTGGAGCAGATTGTTATCTGTGTGATTAAGCTGTGTGTGCTTCCTTGTCAATAAACTCTGTGACATTCCTGGAAGTAAGCTGACCCCGGACCATAGATGTCCATGGTATATGCAGAGGTGGTCAGATTTAAGATTGACTGGACAGCGTTGGAAAGTTGGAGAGATAGTCTAGCTGTCCTTCCTCTCTCCTCTACTCTCCACGAAAAAAAAAAATGAAAAGGTGAACTAATTCCAAATATCCTGCCTTCCCCACTGTACATGGTGACCATGATGCCCATGCTGCTGGTGTAGCAGTCCGTACTTCACAATGCACAGCCCTGGAATGCTTACAATGTCGAGCACTCATTGGTAAGTGCAGCCATGTGACCGTGCTGGCCAATCAGAAGCACATCTGAGGCTTTTTCCGTTTGGCTACTTTCACACTGCAAAAACATCGTAAAAATGCATACGCATTTTTACCGTGCTTCGGGTGTATGTTGCACCTGTGAAAAAAAGGACAAATCAAAAAAAACACACGTTTTGTTGGCCACACAGGACACACAAACTAGTCTGAGTTTTGCTATCAAGAGACCACATGGCAAAACTTAAAAAAAAGTATGGGATTAACAAAACAAAAATGATACACACCTAGGTGGATGCAGCACCGATCCAATGCTGCATCTGTCTGCCAGTGCTTCTAAGTAAGAACTGAGAGATCAAAGACTGTTGATCACTCAGTTCTCACTGAGCAGAAAGCCAGTGACTGTCAGTCGCCTGCTCTCTGCTCTGCCCCTCCAGTGCTCACTACCGTGTCGGGCTGTGGAGGGGGCAGGAGGGGCTGACTCAGGCATCTGGATGGATCCTGACTGTAAAGCTGGATCAATTCAGAACCTGGACTGGCTGAGTGATATCAGCCAACAATGGGCTTTAGCCCTCTGCTGAAAACAGGTCACAGGAGTGCAGAACGATTCATTATAAAATGTATTTGGGGAGTAACTGCAAGGAGAGCAACATTTACCTTGTGGATTATTGCTTAGCCTTTCCTTCTAAATCAGGGGTCTCCAAACTATGGCCCTCCAGCTGTTGAAGTACTACAAGTCCCATCATGCCTCTCGGAGTCTTGCCTGTGGATGTCAGAGTCTTGCAAGGCCTCATGGGACTTGCAGTTCCACAACACCTGGAGGGCCATAGTTTGGAGACCCCTGTTCTAAATTAACAGAACCTCCTGTTTGGATGGGATCTGTATGGATTCTTTGGAAGGCTCTCAAACTACGTAGTTGTTGGTAAATCTATAGAAGATTTTACAATCAGATTTAACTTGTGACCGGCATATGATTAGCTGTAAAGAAAGCATAGTGGACACTGATTGGAAAGCTGACCAAGCACCCTACCGTGTAATGGTACAATCTCCCTTCAGCCTCGTACACATGATGAAAAAGTTATGAAAATTCTCGTAAGACAGAGTACAATTTTGGAAGTGATGTAATGTTTTCTTCCGTTTCCAACCATGTACACTGCAGCTGATAAACTCACGTTTAGGAGCTTTTCTGCGTTTTTTTTTTTTTTTCAGCAGCCCCTGAACTCTCCCTAATGTTTTCCTATGTGTCCATGTACTCATCGTCATTTACAGGCAGTTGAATTTACAGTCGGTTTTTTTTTGAACGCACCAAACTTGCGTTCAGGATTCAGCGTTTCAAACGCTTGTAAACACAGCTAACCGCGTTTATAAGTGCTTGTGTTTGGAAATTTTTTTAACTCTTCCATTTCCAGATGCTGTCCAGAGCCTTTTTTCTTCATGAAAAATGCATGCAAAGCCTTTTCCCGGTACTCAAATGGACCCGGTACACCAGACTTTGAGGTTTCACATGAAAGAAAGTATGTTAGACACTGCTGCAATAATTTCTGCACAGAAATGAGCTGGAACACATCCAAGCACCAAAAAAAAAAGACCGCTAATCTCAATGCATACTGCTCCCTCTGCTTCTGCTCTCTCTATTTCTCTCAAAATGTCTGATATAGTTCATTTTTTACTGTTTTTTCAGTGCATTCTGGGCATTTTGGCAGATCTCCTGAGGTTATCTTTAAAAAACACTTCTAAACGCACTATGCAAACACAGCTAAACAGACTTTTTTTACCCTTTTTTTCCAGCAGTCAGTTTCCATCGTTCAGAAGTGTCCCGTGTACATGGAGCCTTACAATTGTAAAGGCACCCCTGAGTTACAGCCCAGTGACTTTGCCTAGACTGAGATGATGTCATCAGTCTGCTGCAGACTGGAGAAGCATTTATTCAGTCTCCTCTCACCTGTAGAATCAGGTTGCAATATTGTAGGTTTGTAGAAAGTCACAAGAAACTGCACAGATATCAGAACTTACAGGATCATGTCATCTCTTAGCTGGCATCCAAGTCCAGGTAGTAGATGGTGACCCTGGACAAAGAGGGAGAAAAGCAGATGAAGGTATTGTCAGGGTGAGTAATGTGATCTCTTTTAGAGGTAATAAATACCTGGAAGTGTTACACTTACACATTTTCATCACTTGTGCATTAACTTAAGTGTATGAGGTGTGAAATGTTAACTCCTGGAATGGACTGTTAAAAAAAAAAAAAAAAAAAAAAAAAAAAACATGAAAAAATGATCCTGAGGTATCTCTAATGGATGCCAACATCCCTAAAATATAAAGTTGTATTGGAGAGAAACCCCCCTAATTGGGACTTTAAAGGTATGCAAAAAGTAAGTAAACGTTACAACAATCAACAAAATTGTTGTAACTTTTACTTACTTTTTCGGTGCCTTTAAAGTCCCAATTAAGGGGGGGGGAAGGGGAGGGTTTCTCTCCAATACAACATAAAAAAAAAGCCCCCAACAATTTGCTTACCTATACACTAGCAGCTGTTGTCACCTTCAAAGTCCCCTTGTGAAGAGATGCACTTTTCTAGATGACTGTGCCACTGCCGGAAACATTCCTGGAATACGTGTTCCAGAACGCTGCGCAGTATCTTTGTTGCGGCACGCTGTATGTCCGGAATGTCATGAAGCCTGCGTTCTTTTTTTTTAAGGCATTTTTCATTTTGGAAACCAAAAAGTCGCAGGGTGCTAAGTTGGGGGAGTAAGGTGGTTGGCCAAGTTTCGGTATGGATTTTTGGGCCAGGAACTCGCGAACACTTAACGGATCATGTGCAGGAGCTCGTGGTGAAAATCCACTTGTCATGCCAGAGTTCCGGTCTTTTCCTTCGACCAGATTTCCGTAACCTTTTCACTTTCCACATTTTGCATCCGTCTTTTGCATTTTTGGCTGCCCACTTGTGTCATCATGGATATCTTCCCGCTTCTCCTTAACCACCTCCAGTCTGGCCGTTGTATATAAACGGCCGGACGGTGGCAGTGCAGGGTCGGGTGGCCGTTTATAAATGGCCTCCCTGCCCCCTGCTTGTGCGCGCTCCTGGGAGCGCACAGCACCTTGATCCGGTGCCCGTTGTGTCCTCCGGACACAGTGAAACACCGATCGTCATACGGGACCTATGTGCGAGGTCCCAATCATGTGATCACTGATTGGCCAATCAGTGATCACATGCAGAGTAGTAAGCAAGATGTCACTTCTGACATTGCTTACTACATGTGAAATCTGTGAATGATCACAGAGGTCACATGGTACAGGGCTATTCACAACAGCCTTGTACCATGTGACAAGCTGTGACCAATCACAGCTCACACAGTAGTTCTCAATAGTTGCAAGAATGCAGCCAGAGAGAAGGAGAAATAATTGTTTTTTACAGCCTTTATGGGTGTAAAACCAATCAGTGTAAATAAAAAAAAAAAAACCATCACCCCCCCACAAGTAGTACAGTGTCACCATGGTGACACTGTACTGCTAGGGTGACAGTATGTAAAAAAAAAACACCATAAATAATATAAAAAAGTTTTAAAAATTATAATTTTTGGTTATAAACTAATTTGGGTTATTTTTTTATTTATTTTTTTTTTTACTAATAAGATAATGGAATAAATTTTGGCCAAGATTTATAAAGAAATCTTATTTATTTGCAAATTTTTTATAAGAAAAAACACTTTTTTCAAAATTTTTGGACTTTTTCATTTACATAGCAAAAAAAAATAAAAATCCCAGTGGTGAATAAATACCACCAAAATAAAGCTTTATCTGTCTCAAAAAAATGCTAAAAAATTCATATGGGTACAGTATTGCATGACCGCGCAATTGTCATTCAAAGTGTGACAGCGCTGAAAGCTGAAAATTGGCCTGTCAGGAAGGGGGTAAAAGTGTCCGGACTGGAAGTGGTTAAACCGCCAATGCCATCCAAAAACACTTGATTTCTTCATGGAATGTTCAGCAGAAGCCTGTTGTCACAATGCTAAAGAATCACACGCACTTCGGACAATTTTTACACAAAATGTGATGTTATTTCGCTGCTCCAGATTCCTCTCACTCATTTTCTGCCAACAGCACAATTTTATTTCTTGTATTTCTTTAAGAGTCCGCTGGTCTGTGACCCCGGTGAGTACGTTAGAACATGTCAGGACACCTCAGGTGCAAATGGCTGTGTGACTCACCACCATAGTGCTACGTCAGGGGCATTCGGGGAATTAAATTGTCACACCTTGTATATGATGATGCTAAATCACCTTTAATCTGGCTGTACCGTTGACAGTTCGGTTTCTGTGATGATGAAGTGACATGTTGGGGTTTGTAGTAAGTTTAGTAGGAGATCTTAGTCTTTATTTGCACCTGCCATCCTTGCTTTGATACTGCGCATTGGTTTTCCTTCGCAGAGTTTTCATCCCGTTACATCTAAAATGATCTCACTGCTCAATGAAATCGGAACAAACCCTTTCATATTAATCCTTTAAATGTATACGTATGTATATGAAGTAGGCACTTTTCATTGTAAATCCTAATTCTGTTTCTTGTTTATTACCAGCTTCCGTTAAATGAGGCCTGAGGATCTCGAGTCAATGGTTCAATCGCTTGCTCATCTTCTGCGGGACAATGGTGAGTACAAGTACTGCAATAATCCTCTGAGACAATGAAGCCAGCTACTCAGTAACTTCCATTGCAACAATCCTTTGTTGGCTACATAGCAGGATACAGCCGTAACACACTTAACACGTTTTGGTCAAAGCCATACTCAGGGTGGATTTGATTTAAATCAAACTGATTAAAATCACGATTTAAATCACTAGTCAGTAAGGCTTGATATAAATCCTAGTTTTCTGCATAGACTAATTCTTGCTGGTATAACTTTAATATGCAAGTAGATGAAGATTTTTAGAATAACAACTTTTCATATTAGTTTTTTTTATCCCCAGTTTATAAGGTTAATCATTCATATTTGGACAACTTTTCTGTTGTACTTAGGAAGGAGAAAAATAATCATTACCTTAATAATAACAATTTAAATAGATTTATTCAACTGAAACAATAACATTCCAGCATATGTGATTTGCTTAAACATCCATGTTTGGTAACTAATTTGGCAAAACAAAATATATATATTTTAAGAAACGTAGACTGTCAGCCCCTTCCTCCTCACACTTAGTTTCACTTTCTTCTTGTGCAGATCTATTCCACTCCAAACAATCAGAAAAATATTGTTTCTATTCTATTCACTGAACTTCTTGAAACTTAGCAGTGAAGGGGTTGATTCTGTATTCATAGGTTTGTAGAAGTTAGGATGAGGTCTTTTTCTTAACTCTGTTCATGTTATAACATTTTTTGCTGTGAAGAAGAGGCATGTGATCTCCGCTGAGTCAAATTCAGTTTTGAGAACTGCAAAAGTAAACCAACATCTGTGATAATATCTTGTAGGCAGAGAAACTGCCCAATAATCTTACATAAACCTCTGGAAGAGCATGACATTGTGAATGGATTCATGGAATTTATTTACCAAAAAAATTAAACATATACAGCCTTATTCTACATAATTAAAAAACTATTCTTTATTTCATGATGGAATAACCTTTGGATGGTAATATATTTTCCTCAAAAAGCATTTTATTTAAAAAAATCTGATTTTTTTTTTTTTTTTTTAAATCATTGATTTTTATCCACCCTGGTCCTGACTACTATAGGGATTGTCAGCTTCCCCAGCGGACCCTCAGGTATATGATACGCATTTTTACATTATGCCACACTGGACCAGTGTAAATATTTTAAAGGCTAAGTTTACCTTTTTGGAGCATGTTAAATCTATATTTGGTGCGTAACATGCAACAGGTTCCTATGCACCTGTGACAGTGGGGTTTCTTCTCCCTGTACCCACTGTCACAATTTGAAAACAGCGTGGCCATGCAGGGCTCCACCCACACGGCTCCATCATTCATTCACAGTTTCCTGTGAATTAATAAACTACAAGTACCGTCAGCCTTTGCAGCTGACGGCTTTTGGTTCTCAATGAACTGTGAGGGTGCTGGTGGGCGATCTCAGTTCATTGATTCTTCCTGCCATTCGGTGACTGTAACGGGAGATACGAGCAGATGGTGTCTGCAGGATACTGGCATTGCACCTGCGATCTGCTGATTACACGTGAATTGCTTTACAGGCTGCAATGTAAAAAAAAAAAGTTATGAATGCACATTTATTTACCTGCAAAAAAGATGTGCATTTATTTAACTAAAAGGTGAACTTAACTAGTAGCCTCCCTGGCGGTATTCCCGAGTGTAGCTCGGGGTAAAGTTTCAGTATCACAAGCGATAACCCCGAGCTACATTCGGGATTACCATGTGGTGCTGCTCTGGGATCTGTTCTTCTCTTACCTTGTCCTGCGCTCCCGCGATGTCCCTCCTGCAGTGTCCCCGGCAATGTCCTCCGGCGGATGCCGGCATCTGTCTTCTGGGTTTCTGTCCCCTGCGACGTCGGGACATACGGGGGACGGAGCGGTGGGAAATTTGAAAATGACAAAGTGACATTCATTAAATTCACTAAAATCGCATAGTATAACATTCCTGTATCAAACCATTTCACATACATTTTGTCCCGAGTGCTTTGTCCTGTGCCCTGCCTGCATTTTTACTGTTCTTTCTGCCTGGAAACTGAGAAACGTCCATGGCGTCCAAAAAGCGTCCCTTTAGGTCAAAAGTGGTTTTAGACCGGCTAGAGAACAGCGATAGTAAATTAGAACCACTTGCAGAATTGAGTGATAATGATTCGTGGGGGAAATTCGTCATCAGACACTGAAAACGATTTTGCGACTTTGTTCAGTGATGTGCGAACTTGGCGCTATATTTTCCTCAAAAAGCATTTTATTAAAAAAAATCAGATTTAATCATCAAAAAAATCCGATTTTGTTTTTTTTTTTTTTTGATTTTTAAAAAAAAAACATTGATTTTTATCCACCCTGGCCATATTCAAACATACTATGGGTAAGGCTTCGGCCGCAATGTTAACACATTATTATACCGAATTTATATAGCGCCAACAGTTTGCTCAGCGCTTTACAATATAATGGGAGACAATACAGCAACAATACAGTTCAATACAAGAGGGTTAGGAGGGTCTAACCCTCTTGTATTGCTAATGCATGTTACTGCTGTGTCCTGCCATGTAGCCAATAAAGGATTGTTGCAATGGATGTTACAGAGTAGCTGGCTTCATTTTATTAGAGGATTATTGCTACTTTTAGACTGTAAGCTCCAAGGATCAGGCCCTCCTATCCCTCTTGCATTGACCTGTATTGTTGCTGGATTGTCTCCCGTTATATTGTAAAGTGCTGAGCAAACTGTTGGCGCTATATAAATCCTGTATAATAATAATACATTTCAAAGGCATTTTGGGAAGAGCACTGGTTCCCAGTCACCCAGGTAATTTGCAATGGATAATGTTTCCTTTGAGTAGAAGTGTTCCCCGTACCTAAAGATCCAGTATGGTAACTAAACAGCCGTTAGGTTGGACTGGTAAAGGGTTCCAGTTCCGGACAATCAACAAAAGTACTTTGCTCATGGGACAATCATTGTTTCATAGCTGCTGGCACCAAATACCTGGTGCTTTCAAGTACCTTGTACTCCCAGTGTAATGATGCAGAAAGTGTTGCTGACATCATCACACCTTTTGCATCACTAAAGACTGCTCACTGCGGGGTGAATCAAGAGGGCTGTGCACATCACAGCTTGAAAGCATCTAGAAAAGGGAAGTGAAAAAATAACATGCAGGAGACCTCTAGAGAAAGGAGAATCCACAACTGGGCTTTAAACAGACCTGGTCACTGCTCTACATAGACAAGGTGACCGGTTCTCTTAAAACTCGTTACAATAATGTCAATCGGACCTTCACTCAAAAGGGAAAGTTCTGCTTTTCTGCGTCCTCCCTCCCTCTTCTCCCACTTTTGGCACTTTTTTTTTTTTTTTTTTTCGTGGGTGCTTGGTCTTGGTGCTCAGATCACCTAGGCGATTCTAGTGGAAGTTCACACTCTGCTTTTTGCCCGCAGCCTTCTGGGACATGCCACAGTTCCCAGAAAGATTGTGGGACCTTTCACAAAGCGCAGTGAAGCTTGCTCATGCACAGTGGAAAGTCAACAGGCTTCACAGCTGAAAATCTAAGTGCGAGAACTTCCTGCGCTAAGAATGGGGCCCTATTTACCAAGCAGCTGACACAAAACTCCTTACCAAGATGAGTGAATGCATATAAATATAAAGTGCAGTGCTCTCCCTGAACTAATTATATATAAATATAAAGTGCACACTTGGCTAAAAAGTGCTCTAAATAATGACACAAAGTACTAAACTTATGTGCAAAAATTGTGCATTTACAAATATGTGCATTAGCAAAAAAATTGTGCAACCCGTGTACTTCAAAATGAGAATAAAGTGCAATCAAAATGAGAAAAGTGCAATCAAAATCACTCCAACCATCTGCTATAAATTAATAAGTCCAAAGTAAGATTAAAGTGTCCAAAGTACAACAAAAAGACCTAACAGTCTTCATGCATGTGTCACACGTGTCCACACTGTGTGAATCCAAACTTTAGCCGTGATGGCCCCTTACCTCCTTGCCAAGACCCCACAGGGTCAGCTCGCTTTACAGCAGGACACCCTTTAGATGGCTCACCAGGACCTTCCCCGCCTCTTACACTCTAACAGCGATCTCCTCCTCGGTTCATATACAAACAAAAACTCACATAGTGTAATCCTGTTTATTAGGTAAGTAGATGAGTAGTAAAATTCCCCACTCACATTTAAAATCGTCTCTTCACATGCCTTCAATACCCCATGCTATGAATCTCCTGCATGGGTATATAGATACAGGGGTTTAAAATATGGCCGCCACGCCGGAAATGACGTCACCGCGCTCCCAGAATCCTCCTCGCGTTCCGATTTAGTAAGTGCAGACGTCGCATCCTGTGGAACCTAAGGGGTTAATCCTCTGCATTGTGTAAAAGGGCTGTTTGATCCTGTCTTCTCTCCTCTTGTTCAAATGACCACCTGATACAAACTTTTTTGCTAATGCACATATTTGTAAATGCACAATTTTTGCACATAAGTTTAGTACCTTGTGTCATTATTTAGAGCACTTTTTAGCCAAGTGTGCACTTTATATTTATATATAATTAGTTTAGGGAGAGCGCTGCACTTTATATTTATAGGCTTCACAGCTGGTTTCTCTTAGTAAACATGCTGGCCCTGGGGACCCAAAGACCGGTGAGGGCGGCGCTGAGTTCCTGGACGGGTAAGTGTCCTTCTATTGAATGTCGGCAGCTACAGGATTTGTTGCTGGTGACTTTTTTTTTTTTCTTTTTGAGGAAGATTGAAGCGCACTTTTAAGAAATTCCGAAACAAAGTTTTCTGATTTATTTGTAGTGCTTGCTTTGTAAGGTGTAGTAAACGTGGGCTTATCTTTCCATAGTTGTCCAGTATATCAGCACTGTTGTAACAGGCATAAGTAGTATATCAGATAAGAGTGTCATCGATAACAAGTTATTGTTCCTCTTTTTTTGTGGAAAGCAGAATGTCATCACTGCACTTCTGATCAGGTTAACTAACTACTGGAAATTTGCAGACAGCAGGGCAGTGCACAATTTTCGAAGACCGTATAAGCCTTGTCTGCCTATATTTTGCCTTCTCTGGTTCCTCCTCATCAACTTGTTAATGCAATTTTTAAATAAAACTTTTCTATTTTCATTACATACCTTATTTTAGACTTGATCTCTGTGCTTCTCTAAGCAATGTAGGCATAATATGGCTAGTGGGAGAGACCGGCAGGGTGCTTTACATAATTTCCTAAAAAAAACCCATCATAACACCTTGCTTCAGTCCTCCTCCCAAAAGCCATCGGCTCTAATGCAAGCAGTGGGCTGGCTCTTGAGAGGAGCTATGCAAATATCAAAATGCCTTGATGGGTTGGGCATCAGGAGGAGTGGGTGTTCGTACGCAGGCTGTATTTACATGCTGACCACTCTGGGTGACGTCCACATGTGACACCAAGGATCCAAAATTGTTAAAATGTTACTATGCCCACAGCAGTAAAATCAGTCTGTAGATGCAGTAAAGCATGCTTGTTATACTCACTGTGGAACCTAAGGGGTTAATCCTCTGCATTGTATAAAAAGGCAGTTTGATCCTGTCTTCTTTGTACCTGCCCTTTTTCAAGCGACCACCTCTTATCTCCTGATAAGACAGACTGAACCATAGGCATTTCACACATGCTCAGTTCAGTATTGCTAGAGAGGTTTTTTTTTTTTTTTTTTTTTGAAGAGTGCATGTGATCAGCACAGGGCCAATCAGCACTGTCCAGATAGAAGTCAGGGGTTTTGCATCCTCCTAGAGCAGAAAGAAAACTCCTCCTACAAGCTTTAACCAGTGCTCTGCTGATCACTGAGAGAAGTCACAAGACTGCTATATAATGCTGATGAGAAAAGATATTTAGCAGTTTATATTTACTAAAATAATTGCATTTCCATGTTGTGTGTACTGTGGGAGACCTGATATAGTGAATGCAGGGTCCGGGGGAGACCAGATATAGTGGATGCAGGGTCAGGGGAGACCAGATATAGTGAATGCAGGGTCCGGGGGAGACCGGATATAGTGGATGCAGGGTCCGGGGAGACCGGATATAGTGGATGCAGGGTCCGGGGAGACCGGATATAGTGGATGCAGGGTCCGGGGAGACAGGATATAGTGAATGCAGGGTCCGGGGAGACCGGATATAGTGAATGCAGGGTCCGGGGAGAGACCGGATGTAGCGGATGCGGGGGGATCCGGGGAGACCGGATGTAGCGGATGCGGGGTCCGGGGAGACCGGATGTAGCGGATGCGGGGTCCGGGGAGACCGGATGTAGCGGATGCGGGGTCCGGGGAGACCGGATGTAGCGGATGCGGGGTCCGGGGAGACCGGATGTAGCGGATGCGGGGTCCGGGGAGACCGGATGTAGCGGATGCGGGGTCCGGGGAGACCGGATGTAGCGGATGCGGGGTCCGGGGAGACCGGATGTAGCGGATGCGGGGTCCGGGGAGACCGGATGTAGCGGATGCGGGGTCCGGGGAGACCGGATGTAGCGGATGCGGGGTCCGGGGAGACCGGATGTAGCGGATGCGGGGTCCGGGGAGACCGGATGTAGCGGATGCGGGGTCCGGGGAGACCGGATGTAGCGGATGCGGGGTCCGGGGAGACCGGATGTAGCGGATGCGGGGTCCGGGGAGACCGGATGTAGCGGATGCGGGGTCCGGGAGGTAGCGGATGTAGCGGATGGGGTCCGGGGAGGTAGCGGATGTAGCGGATGCGGGGTCCGGGGAGGTAGCGGATGTAGCGGATGCGGGGTCCGGGGAGGTAGCGGATGTAGCGGATGCGGGGTCCGGGGAGGTAGCGGATGTAGCGGATGCGGGGTCCGGGGGGGCGGGTAGCGGATGTAGCGGATGCGGGGTCCGGGGGGAGGTAGCGGATGCGGGGTCCGGAGGTAGCGGATGCGGGGTCCGGGGAGGTAGCGGATGCGGGGTCCGGGGAGGTAGGGATGCGGGGTAGGCGGATGTAGCGGATGCGGGGTCCGGGGAGGTAGCGGATGTCAGAAGCTCACATTGTGCTGTGAAATCAGAGTAAGTCATTTCAGTACAGCAGAGGAGCCGGTACAACTACAAGACTGAAGGGAAGGCTGGAGGTCAGATTTAGGAGATTAGTTCTTTTAGGTTGATGTGGGTTACTGCCCTTTACACTACCTGGTTAGATACATGGTGAAGTGTGATGTTGAAGATCTGACAGTATCTGTTTTATTTCAGGGGACGGGGTGCTGGACGAAAGCCACAGCCTGACCCTTCTCACCCCAACCCTACAAGTCGTCACCCACCTGTTTGATCTGCTCTTTCCGCGGGGCCCGGGAACTGGGTTCCAGGCACTTTCCGCCCACCCTACCGATAGCGGTGCCATTCTGCGCTCACAGTTCCTGCTCGATCTTGCGCAGAAGACTCCAGCATTGAAGGTTTGAACATGGTTGATTTTTTTTTTTTATTTTAAACGGTACAGTACAGAAAAATACCCCTTGATCTTCCAGCAAGTCAGCGAGCTCTTAACGTCTGTTTGAGCTGATAACTCCTCTCCTGCCCTGAAATCCCAAGCAGTGTTGTCAGCCCTGTCCTCTGGTGGACTGCATTACACCTCCCCCAGTTTTCATCTTCAGGAAGGTGTTCTGCAGTTCAGCAGGGGAGAACTGGGCAGGGCTGACAACACGGCTTGGGATTTCAGTGCAACAGGAATTCATAGATCAGCCAGTATTTTCCTGATCCTGCAGCGATTTTAAAGAGACAGAACATGAGGAAATGTGCTTGTATTGTAGAGATGTACTGAAAACGTTTTTATTTTTGTTAATCACATACACATTAATAGAGCTGAAGCCCAGACTTCTTCCCCCAGCATTCAGGTGCAGAAAGGACCACTGCTGTCCAAGCTGTCCAACATAGGCTTGTGAGTCAGAGGTAAACCTGTGCAAACAGAAAACCTAGCATTTCCTGCTGATTGGAGAGCTCTAGCACTGACTCGCAGGGGGCATATCAGATCACTGTAGAGGGGCCAATGCTTTTGCACTTTAAAATGGTTCGAAAGGCTCAAGGTTTTTTCCCTTCATATATCCTATGCATGAAGGTAGAAAAATCTTCTGTGTGTAGCACTCTGATGGGCACATGGAATGTTAAGGGGTTCTCTGATGGGCACAACATAGAATGTGTCCATCAGAGTGCCCCTTAAGGTAACGTGCCCCCGTCAGAGTGCCCCTTAAGGTAACGTGCCCCCGTCAGAGTGCCCCTTAAGGTAACGTGCCCCCGTCAGAGTGCCCCTTAAGGTAACGTGCCCCCGTCAGAGTGCCCCTTAAGGTAACGTGCCCCTTAAGGTAACGTGCCCCTTAAGGTAACGTGCCCCCGTCAGAGTGCCCCCGTGCCCCCGTCAGAGTGCCCCTTAAGGTAACGTGCCCCCGTCAGAGTGCCCCTTAAGGTAACGTGCCCCCGTCAGAGTGCCCCTTAAGGTAACGTGCCCCCGTCAGAGTGCCCCTTAAGGTAACGTGCCCCCTAAGTGCCCCTTAAGGTAACGGCCCCGTCAGCGTGCCCCTTAACGCCAGATGGGCCCCGTCAGAGTGCCCCTTAACGCCAGATGGGCCCCTCAGAGTGCCCCTTATTTTATGTTAAGGGTCCCTCTGATGGGGAAATATGATAGAAAGGAGTACTTTGAGTGTAAGGGAGCACTCCGACAGGAATACCTGGCAATGTGATGAGGATACTTTATGTAAAGGGGCACTCTGCTGGGGACAACTGATGTGAATACATGATGTAAGGTTGCACTCTGATGGCGACACCTAATGCAAGGGGGCACACTGATGGGCACACCCTATTTGGACCTCGGCCAGAAGAAAATTTTAGTGACCGAAACTCCTTGAATTTTATTTCAATACCCCTGCTATAGAGAAAAATGCTGCATGGCCTTTTTTTGGTCTGTTCTTGTGTGTTGCAAGCCCATTCAAAGTGAACGCAGTGCTCATTAATTTGTGACACGGCATAGGTTAACAGACAAAGATGTAAAATTGTAAATCCAGCCTCAAAGTGTTAGTTTACCTTTTTAATTTTTCTGTAAAAGTTAAAAGTTACACTGTACACCTTCCCCACCCCTACCCTGCTCAGGCCCTGTCGTACTTACCTCCTGTAGATGCTGTACTGTCAGTTGCCAGCTGATGTCACGGTCCCAAGATTTAAAATCCCCACTTTCCTCCCTTTTCATTCATGGCTTCCTAGATGGCTCAGAGACTTTCTGATTGGTCAGTGCCAGTCGCCCTGATCTGTTCTGGAAACCCTAGAGAATGTAAATGCAGTAGAGGGATTTTAAGTCTCTGGACCGTTGCACCAGTTACATTGGCACAGAATGCTCATCACCCTCAGGAGGTACGTACAGCGAGACCCGGGGGGGTGGAGAAGGGTGTACAATGTTCACCTTTTCATTTTTTCTGTAATGGTGAACTCACACTTTAAAGATCAGAGCTTTTTTATTGGCACAACTTGTTGCATGTCAATGAAAATTATTTAAGATTTTTGTTTTTTTTTCTTTACAGATTATTCACCTTGATGAATGTCCCCCCCAGTTTGATGTGAATATTTTTCCATTTAAGTCCTTAAAAAGTTTAGAGGTGAGTATTTTCTATGAGCATTTTTTCATCCTTCCACAGGTGAAAAAAAAAAAAAATTCTTTGTGCAAATTTGGGCTACAGCATTTTGTCATGCACTCACGTTCATGTATACATTTCTCTCAAATAGCTGAATGTCTCCATTTTCACTTAAAGTATAATTCCAGCCTCAACCTAACTAGTCCTAAAGGATAGATTCATATTTAAAAAAATAATAATGAACGCACATTGTTTTACAGGTATTATTTTTTGTTTCTTGAGAGCCTGTAAAGCCTTGAACCCGCGATCAACAGATTGCAGGTGCAATATTGGGCTCCTGCAGACTGTCAGTACACGGTCTGCCCATACCTCTGATACGGGTGGGCAGTTACTGAAGCCCAGGAAGCTCAGTGGACTACAACAGCTCTCGCCAGCACCCTTGCAGTTCGTTGAGAACTACAAGCTGTCAGCTGAAATGGCTAACAGTAGTTGTAGTTCATTCATAGAACTCTGTGAATGAATGACAGTTGAATTTGCAGTGCCAAGCTGTATACAAACTATAGCAGTGGGTGCGCAGAGAAGATCCCTGGCCCACTGTCACAAGGAGGTGGCAGATATGGGGGAGAAGAGGAAGATGCTCAACATGTTACATTCTAAGTATGGATGTAACAGATTAAGAAAGGTGAACTTATCCTTTAAAAAAAGTCACATATGCCGACTAACGTGCGTAGGGAAAAAAACCAGCTTGTTTCGGTCCAGTCATGTGATCCAGCTCCCCTGTGTCAGCCAACGGCAGCTGGAGGGAGTGGCGATAACGGATGAGCCATAGGATGATGTCACCACTCCCAGGTATTCCAGCCATTGCTCAGAGCTCTGCCACTGGCTAACGCAATATCATGTGACTGGACCGGGGTGGGCTTAAAATAGGTAAATCTTCCTCTTACATGGGTTGGTCAGCATAGCTGTTAGGAGGGGGGGGGGGAGCATTTTTAAGACTAGTTAGATTGCGACTGGAATTCTACTTTGATATACTAAAGCTCATCTCCAGGCACTTTTTTTTTACTTCATACGCATTCAATATTAATTTGGGAATTTATATAGTGCCACCAGGGGCGGACTGACCATTTGAAAACTCGGGCACTGCCTGAGGGCCCGGGGTCAGTAGGGGGCCCCATGAGATGTCCCTGGTACCTTTTTCATAGGCTTTTTTGAGTTTGGGCAAGGACAGAGGGGCCCCATGATCCCCTATTGCCCGGGGGCTCCATGAGTTATCAGTCCGCCCCTGAGTGCCACCAATTATCACTGCACTTTACATATTGTATGTTTGCAGCAGTCCCTGCTATCAAGCTGCTTACAATCTGGGGTTCCTACCCCATAGGCATACATACACATTCTAGGGCCAATTAACCTACCCACATGTCTTTCGGAGTGTGGGAAGAAACTGGAGTACCCAGAGGACACCCATGCAAGCACAGGGAGAACCCACAAACTCCATGCAGATAGTGTCCTGGCTGGGATTCCAACTGGGGACCGCAGTGCTGTAAGGCAGAAGTGCTAACCACTGAGCCACTATACTACTACTGTACATCTAAGTATAATCCTTTGAGCATTCCTTGGATTTAAGGAACAGTAGGGATTTATTTTTTAAATCCCCTTTTTATGTCACCAGTTGCTGTCCAAAAAAAAGTCACCTTTTTTTATTTTCTTTTTGTCCTAGAGGAGGGTTTTGCATTGATTTCCTCATCACATCTTTTGTTCACATAGGAAGCAATGCAACAGTACATTTATGTGTTCTCTCAGGTACTAAATAGGGTTGTTAAGAGGGCCAGACACTGTGCTTTACATACGACAGGCACAGGTATCTGTTCTCCTGCACAGGAAATGCTGAAGCGAAGCTACCCGTTTTGGAGAGATTATCTGACCAGCATTAACAAAAAACCTATTACTTAAATCATCCCTTTTCAACCTTTTTACCCAAAGAACCTCCTGAAATAATTATCCAGTCTTGGGATACCACTAATACAAACAAGTATACTCCTTGCATTGGTGGTCAGGGGAAGAATGCTCTTTATGATGGTGATCAGTGGGGAGAAGGAGCATTACAATGGTGGTCAGTGGGGAGAAGGAGCATTACAATGGTGGTCAGTGGGGAGAAGGAGCATTACAATGGTGGTCAGTGAGGAGAAGGAGCATTACAATGGTGGTCAGTGAGGAGAAGGAGCATTACAATAGTGGTCAGTGGGGCGAAGGAGCATTACAGTGGTGGTCAGTGGGGCGAAGGAGCATTACAGTGGTGGTCAGCGGGGAGAAGGAGCATTACAATGGTGGTCGGCGCGAAGACTGCTCCTTACAATGGTGGTCGGCGGGAAGACTGCTCCTTACAATGGTGGTCGGCGCGAAGACTGCTCCTTACAATGGTGGTCGGCGCGAAGACTGCTCCTTACAATGGTGGTCGGCGCGAAGACTGCTCCTTACAATGGTGGTCGGCGCGAAGACTGCTCCTTACAATGGTGGTCGGGGCGCGAAGACTGCTCCTTACAATGGTGGTCGGCGCGAAGACTGCTCCTTTACGAAATGGTGGTCGGCGCGAAGACTGCTCCTTACAATGGTGGTCGGCGCGAAGACTGCTCCTTACAATGGTCGGCGGGACTGACAACGAAGACTGCTGGGGAGAACGCTGCTTACATTGGCGGTTGTTGGAGAGAATATTCCTTACAGTGGCGGTCAGTGGGGAAAATGCCTCTACATTGGTGGTCATTGGGAAGAATACTCCTTACATGGCTGGTCAAAATGCCACCCTTACAGATGGCAAAAAAGATCAATTGTGCCATGGTGCTGACTCTGCCACATGTCACTGATCCTGAAACTATGCAGACAATATCAAATTGTAGGTCAGTCAGCCACAGCTCCATAAACCCTCAGCAACCCCTGGGAAAACCTTAAGATTCCACAGAACCATGGTTGACAATGGCTAACCTAAATGTATAATGAAATAAATTTTGGCCCAGAGGTGAGCTTTAAAGGAAACCTGTCAAGATAGAAATGAAGAAGCTGCTAAGCTTGATTGTTAACAGAGTGCTGATTATCATTTCATATTGCAGTTACAATGTCTCCCCCCACACTGCCTAAGGGGGCTGCGAGGTGTATACTCACAGTTGGAGATCCTGACTTGCTCACAATGTGTGACCAGCATAGCGGTAAGTGGGGGGCATTCTGCCACTGGGATAAAGCGAGATACATGTGCAAGGCTGATTTTAGCATTCTACTACTAGTACCGTAGATCTAAGCGTAACCTGCATAGACGTGTAGTATAGTAAAATATCAGTTCAGGCCTGTAAAATAAATACATTCGTATACTGAATACTAGCATTACAGGTAATACAGTTACCAGAATATAATATTTTTTTCAGTAGTGATCCTTTTAAGATGTCTGTAAACCCAAACTTTTTTTTTTTTTGTAATTGGCTCTAAAATGAATTGCTCTTACTGTGTGCTCAACGCTTCTCTCATTACTATATTCTTAAATTGTGTATACCCAGTTGATCCTGTCATATTCTTTTTTTCTCCTACTTCCTTATTTAGAGTGGCAAAGCTATTCCAGTCAATTCTTAATTTTCAGCATTGCCACTCCCTTTGTACATGCTCCAGTTTTTACCTGAGAAGAAGTCATGCTCTTTTCTGAGCCTGAGCATTATAAGAAAGAACACATCCCTGGCATCCCTTTAGATATGCATGTTCCCCCCCCGTGTCAGCTGCTGAGTAGTGCAGACATTAGCTGTGTGTGGAAAGTTGTATGTAATAGGCAATGGCGCAAGCAGAGGTTTCAGTACACACTCACTGACCCTGTTAGATGGCCTGTAAAATCTTGCAGCAACAGATTAGAATAAACTAAATAGAATTTCTGATTTTAGTGCTGCTGCAATGTTTCCTTGATAGTGTTTTTACTTAAACTATTGTTTTCCTCTGTCCCCAGCATGTACTCTTTAATACATAATGTGTATCTTCTTTATCACGTGGCAGGAGGTGATCTCTTCTTGTGGGGGGGATCTGAGTTCTGCCCTACCCTGGTTGGAACTGCACACACTCAACTTCAGCAAAAATGCCATCCACAGCCTGGACCAGTCTCTGGTGAGTACACTTCATACTGGGTGTGACTGCTAAAGAGTATTCCATCAAATTCTTGTTTTTTACCCGCAGTGCCACAGTATGCTATTTAACAGTTTTAGATAGATCCATTAAATGTTTTAATTGCTAGCTGCTGATTGAAATCATGCTTGCAGTGGAAGTTTTTTTTTTTTTTTTTTTTTTTTTTTTTTTTTTTTTTTGGTTGCAGTGATATTTGTAAGTTGTCAGCAGAAGCCATCACCATAATTGTTTAGACCAGCCAGCCGTTGTCAACGAATTAGCAAAAGGAGCCTCAAATGCTGCCCCTGACATCACCAGAGAGCTGCACGTAATGTTCAGTATATGTAATGCTTAAATCGACTGTTAGAAACTGCAGATCTAATAGAGGAAATGAAGGTCCGAGAGTGTGGGCATGCTATATTTTTGGCTGGAGATATGCTGCAGAAAACCGTATGAAACTAGGAACATGTTACACGAGGCTAGTAGAGATCAATACTAATACTCTAGTCAATGTTCCCACTACAAACTGCTGAGGTCCAAGTGCCACACATCATATACCAAAGGGCTACATGTGGCCCCCGGGCCCTGCTTGGACCCCTGGGATTTGTACCTTTTTCAATTGCTTACGTGCCCGGGGTCCATGCTGTGGGGTCAAGACTCCTGGCCAAGCAGGAATGGTTGAATGATGCTGGCTGTCATTCAGCTTGGAAGTGGGCAGAGTTTTTGCGGAGAACGGCACTGGAGAAAAAGTGAGCATTGTAGTGAAATCTGTTTTTTTTTTTTTTTTTTTTTTTTTTTTTTTTTTTTTTTTTTTTTTTTTCCCCCCCCAACTGAGATTAGGGGGTATTTAAAAACTTAAAATTTAGAATCTGTAGTTGGGCTTTAGCTCTAGCTGTGTCTATCCTTAGTGTAAATGTTTTCTTATAGCAATATGTTCTTTTGTTTAGGAACTGTTGAACAGTCTGAGGTCTTTGGACTTGAGTAACAATTTCATCAAAGACTGCGGCCCACATTTAAAGGTACTCTATTTCACCCTTTTCTGCAAAGTGTGAGTTTTGCTTTGTCTGAATAGCTTTCAGCCAGAAATATGTATGGAGCAAATCAAAAATGCGGCAAATGTTTTAGCTTTGAACTTTCCTCCTGCTAGCTTGAGGTCAGGTCTCTATGTCCTTGATCTTAGGTTCATATTGAAGATGCTGCCCTCCTGAACTTTATTCATGCCTTTGATGTATTAAAAGGCTTCAGTCATGTCTTATAATATGTGTTGTTGGGTTCTAGATTCTCTCTGAGCTCCAGCACCTGAATCTGGCGTATAATTCACTGGAATCCTTCCCGGAGCTCAGCATACAGTCCAGCGTACAGCTCCAAACTGTTATCTTAAGTTACAACAAGCTGTCCTGCACCAAAGGTCAGTCTGTATGTGTATGTATGTGTGATCCATGTGTGTTTGACAAGGGCACATTCATGAAACTTCTCTGACTGTATTTTCCAATCACAGGGCTGGAACATCTCACAAACCTTCATCACTTGGATCTGTCATATAACCTGCTGGACAATCACTCACAGCTCAAAGGTTTAGCTCGGATGCATAACCTGAAAGAGGTAAAGTGGATACAGCTGCTTTGAGTGGGTTGGTTTTGAAAATAACTTATTTGGTTTACACATTTAAAAAAGTTTAATGCCGCCACGGTGTGGTTCACTGGCTGCAGGCTTGTTGCTCCCTAGTAGTTTCAATTGTGTTGCTCTCCAGCCGCCATGACCGTCTTGCTCACCAACAGTTGTGGCTGTGAAGTTCCCTGTGCCTGCTGTCATATTGGTCTTCTGTTGTTGCTGTTAGGATATGGCCTTCCTAAACATATCCCAGGCTTCATTAAGTATATACTGTACAGGGGTAGACAAAAAAAATGGAAACACTACATTATTTGCAGATGTGCAAGTGCCGTAACATTCTTTTGCTTCCGCTGTGTAATGAGACACCTAGCGATTAGGTGGGAAGCCTCACTTTCGTCACTGTGTGCGCTGCTAGTAGTAGGGAGTCATGTTACAGCATACCCCTTTAACCTCCTCCCGCACACCATATACGAAATGACAGCACAAGGCGGTTCTCTTGTTCTGGAAGGATGTCATATGACGTCCTCCCACTCCTAACCTTCGGACACAGCGGATCACCGATCAAAGGAAAGAGCCAAAGACGTCAGCTTGGTCATGTGATCAGCTGTCTCCAATCACAGCTGACCACATGTACATATGGAAATGCCAGATATCGGCACTCTCCTCACGAGCTGTCACGCTGACAGCTCAAGAGGAGAGGAGAGCCGGTAATTGGCATGCCTCAGAGGGGACATGTACACTGATCATCAGGGCACTGATGATCAGTGTAGCCCAAGCAGTGCCACCTGTCGGTGTCCATGAATGCCAGCTGTCAGTACTCCTCAATGCCACCTGCCAGTGCCCATCGGTGCCACATCAATGCCACATGGTGAATACCAGTGCACATCAATGCCACATATCAGTGCCCATCTGAGCTGCCTTTCAGTGCCGCCTATCAGTGCCATATATGAGTGCTGCCTTTCACTGACCATCAGTGCCACCTACCAATGCCACCTATCAGTGCAGCCTATCAGCGCCCATCACTGCAGCCTCATTAGTGCACATCCATGAAGGAGAAGAATCACTTATTTACAAACTTTTATAACAAAACCTAAGAAAACTTTTTTTTTTTTTTTTTTAATTTTCAGTTTTTGGTTTGTTTAGCAAAAGATAAAAAACCCAGAGGTGATTAAATATTACCAAAAAAAAGCTCCACCTATGTAAAAAAAAAAAAAATGATAAAAATTTCATATAAGTACTGTGTTGCATGCCTGCACAATTGTCATTCAAAGTGTGACAGCGCTGAAAGCTGAAAATTGGCCTGGGCAGGAAGGGGGTATAAGTGCCCGTTAGGCAAGGGGTTAAAGAGGACAAATTGTTGGTGCCACTTAGAAGGTGCTTCTGACTGAAGTTGCCAATGTAATTGCTGTGTCGCGAGGTACAGTATCAAAGGTTAAGAGGGCATATACAGTTTCTGGGAAACCGTCATCTGATAAGCATAAGCAAGGTCGACGCGGTCAACTGACCAAAAGAGACAAAAAACATTGCATTGGATTGTAGCCCGGTATAACAAAACTGCTGCAAAAGTGACTGCAGAGCTCAATCTCAGTCCCGTGAAGACTGAGCTGCAGTTTGGGAGTAGCTCTGACCCAGTCATCCATCCGTTACAATTTCGTTCTTGACAAAGTTTCTCAAATCCTTTTGCTTGCCTATTTTGTCTGCTTTTAACATATTAAATTCAGAGGCAACATGTTAACTTGCTGCATAATATATCCCACCCACTTTCAGGTGCCATTGCCATGACATAATCGATGTTCTTCACTTTACCAGTCAATGGTCATAATGTTATGGCTGCTGCAGGAAATTGGCAGTGCTGAAATATAACAAAGGTTAAAGTGATATTAAAGGAAATTTTTTTTTTTAATAGCAAACATGGCATACTTCCCTGCTCTGTGCAGTGATTTTGCACAGAGCAGCCCTGATCCTCATCATTTTGAGTCCCCTGCCAGCGCTCCTGGCCCTTCCCTCAAGCCAAGTGCCTCCACAGCAAGCAACTTGCTATTGGGGGGGCATCCAAGCAGGCCCCTCCCGAGCCATTGCTCTGCGTGTCCATTCACACACAGCCATGGCTCAACACCCCCCCCCCCCCCCACATGCTGTGATTGACAGCAGTGGAAGTTAGTGACTCCCACTGATGTTTCAGCCTATGGGAGACTCGTGCACATCCCTGGATAGCGATGGGATGGGGCTTAGGTAAGTATTGGGGGGGCTGCTGCATGCAGAAGGTTTGTTTTACCTTCATACATAGAATGCATGAAGGTAAAAAGCATTGAGCCTTTACGACCACTTTAACACTTGTCTACTACTTTTACCCCCTTCCTGCCCAGGCCAATTTTTAGCTGTCAGCATTGTCGCACTGTGACAATTGTGTGGTCATACAACACTGTAACCATGACATTTTTTGCATTTTTTTTTACGTAAATAGAGCTTTCTTTTGGTGTTCTTTAATCCCCACTGGGGTTTTTATTTTTTGATAAAATTGTTTTAAAAAATAACGGTAATTTTTCTCCTTCACTGATGTGCACTGATGAGGCAGAACTAGTGGGCATTGATGAGGCACTGATGAGACTGCACTGAAATGCGGCAATGATGAGAAAATGATAGGCGACACTGATGTGCACTAATTGGCATCACTGAAGCGCACTAATAGGCAGCATTGTAAGACACTGATAAGTGGCACTGACTGGCAGCACTGCTGGGCACTATTGGGGCTGCAGTGATAATCAGTGCCCTGATTATCAGTGCAGATGTCTCCTTCCACACCTGCCAGTTATTGACAGTACTTTCCTCGCGCTGTGACAGCATGAGGAAAGTGCTGCCGATAGCCGGCAAGTGTGGTCTACATTGTAATCAGCTGATCATGTGATAAACGGCCGCTGTGATTGGCCCGTTACCATAACGTGATCAGCTATGTCTGAAAAACACAGCGATCACAGTGCGCATTTTCTTAACCAGCAAGTGGTTAAAAAAAGGTGAATACTTAATTTTATTTTAAAAAATAAATAAACATGGTGATTTTTTTTGTTTTTTTTTGTACGCAGTGTTTCAGAAAACTAAATATTAATATATGCTTTACTTCTACTTTAAATATATGTCAGACTTCTAAACAAATCACAAAAACAACTCTGCAAGAAGAGAGGTATTATACTCTCCTCTCCAGTCTTCCAGGTTTCCTATCTTTCCTCTGTTCTAGCACTGAATCCTTTAGTCTGTTTGGCATTTGACACTTCCAGGTGTGTCAAGTACCTTTTATCCACCATGTGTGCTGTGGCTCCATTTTTCCCTTGTGTCACTGCTGATTCCTGATGTGGTATAGGGGTGGGAAGAAAGAACCAGCAAGTAGCAGGGTACACAGGCATTCAACACTAACTGAATTGACAGATACTGAAGTGACTGACAGAACTGCAGGGATAGAATGGAGGGGAGGTAGGAGACCAGGATCACTGTAGAGGTTTGTATACTACTGTTTATAGGGAATTGCCCTTTGGATTCAGGGTCTCTTAAAGGATTTTCACAAAAATTTAATGCAGGCCTTAGTTGACCGTTAGCACTTTAAATGTCCACATTTTATTACCAGCTTCCTATGTTTGCAAATAAATACCAAGGTCTCGCTGATATGATTATTCCCTAAAGCTCTACATTGGTTTTAATGAACCTGCGGAAGGACACCATTGCCATATAATGTAACTGCAGACAACTCCCCGCTATATTATATCCCCGCTTGTTTGCTTTCCAGCTCATCCTGGAAGGAAATCCTATGTGCTACCTCCCAGACCATCGAGCACTGACCGCCCAACACCTGTCCCGTAAAGCCTCTGACAAGGTGAGTGATAGAGAATGCTGCTGGTAACGTTGTGGATGAAAAACGTCCTGTATTTAAACATTTGTCTTTGTGTTGTCAGGTTTTACTGGATGGAAATCTGATAACCGCATTGGATAAAGTCATGGTGAGTCTTGAACATTTTATTATAATGTGTAATTAAACCTAAAATATTTCCTGCCCCGAGCTTTAAGATAATGTTCACCGGGCTTCTGGCCAATTCCTCATTTTGTTAGAAAAATCTGTCTGCTTTTCAGAGGACTTCTCGGTGCTGCTAGCCTCTTGGCTCCTGGCAGTGCTAGCAAACAGTCTGACAGGTCCCTGTGCGAGATATCTCTATGGACCTGGAAGGGGGGGGGGGGGGGGGGGGGTTAGGGAGTATAGAAGATTTCTTACCGTACCAGATCTACCATAATATCCAGACTAGGGCTGCAACTAACGATTGTTTTAAAGGTGAATTACTTGGCCGATTTATTGTTTCGATTCAATCAGATAAAAACCTCCAATATACAATTTCTAATCATTTAATGAACAAACAGATTGTTACACACAAACGACAGAATAAACTTTTGAACTTTGCATTAGCATTCCACAACTGTATGCATTATTAAAAAGCAGAAGTAAAGCACAACACAGCTTAATGTAAAAAAAAAAAAAAAAAAAAAGTGTGCATGTGTAATCTAGTTAATATGTAAAGCTAAAAAAGACCGAGCTCTTGAACGTCTGTATGCATTGGTAAATAGGAATAACCAGCTATATGGTTAGGGAACCAAATATCTAATTCACTCTCAGAATAACAGAAGAGAGATCTAAACCTACAGAGGTTGAATCTGGTAAATATCAGACTCTGAGATCAAAATGTTTATTTAACAAATAAAAAAAAAAAGCCTAAAACACTTTTTTTTTTTTTTTTCAAATTCTTATTACGGTAAAGGTAAAATACAAGAGTCAGCATAAATACAATAGACAGCGTCCATTGCCAAGTAAAGATCTAAAACTGATTCATAATGGGCCATTAAAAATCACAGTATAAATGTATAATATAACAAAGTGTCAGTCATATTAGCAAGAAAAGGAATGAAATAAAGGAAAATGTAGCAAAGAGATGAGGCACTTTTATAGGATAAATAAAAGTGCAAGTATACCATACAGTTTCAGCAACTCACATATATACACAATAACGGACAGCCTACTTCCTCCTCCTCCACTAACCAGATAAGCACAATGGGGGTGGGATATTGCACCTTGATTGATGGAAAGCTTCACCTCCCTGTCTTTCTAAGAACGCAGGCTGGAGGGGCGTGGCAGAAATCTGCCCACACCCTGGTATTGCCAAAAAAAATTATATTTGTATATATTCAAATATATATTTGTATGCAATTTAAAACCGTTTATTGAGAGTTTATTTTTACTCTGTATCCCAAAGGCTGTATTTTTTTTTTTTTTATATAATGAACATGTGACTAGCAGCAGAGGACTAGATGCTCCTCCTGCTTATGTTTCCCTGCAGACAGGCTGGGAAAGAGCTGGGTCATGTGACCGCTGTATATCAATTAGAACCCTATATAGGAACCATGGGCAAGTGAGATTGAAGGGAAGTGGCAGGGGAGGGGTGGGTCATCCTGTATCTTTACTGTACTGTAGTTCCACAGCAAGTGTTGATTTACTAAAGGAAAATTCTGTGCACTTTGCAAGTGCAGTTGCACTCATTGTGGCAAAGCTTCACTTCATCATGATTGGATGATGGAAATCAGCAGAGCTTTAGCATATCTACATTACATCTATTTTGTCTTTAGTAAATCCACCCCTGATATCGTCATTCTTGCTTTACAACCATTTATGTGTATCCTGATTAGTATGTGTTTATATGTCTCTGAAAGTGGTAATCCTAATCAGACCAGTTTCTCCAATCATTCCTGTAACTGTTTTGGCTAGCTTCTACGTCTTGCTTTAAAAGTACTCCTGTTTTTCCCCACAGACTACATACGTGTACAGAGAGCGGATAATACTGCCACGAGGCTACAATTCGGCCACAGAGAGTTCCTGCACTGGGGAACTGAGCGACAGCTGCTCTGCTCCAGAGAGGATCGCCACCCGGATTCCTCGCAAAAAATCCAAGGTGAGGTGCCATAGTGGACAAGATGACGACAAAGGTTCACTGTGAAAGGGTTTATTACTGTCAGTAACATTTCCTGAAATGTGCTTGATTTGGTATATTTACTCCAGGTCACGTCATTCTTCTCATTTAACTCAGGTTAAAGTCCGCAGAGCCAGCATCTCAGAACCCAGTGACAGCGAATGTGAGCGGGAGCCGCGGAGTCAGCCAGTAGTGGGTATGTGATCTCGCAATGTTATTTCTATACATTTGTGTCAACGCTCCCTCTTGGCTGAGGTGTATGACATGCACAGTGGTTACATAGGACACGTGGTTGCATGATCATCACATTTCCTAAAAGGAGTGAAGCCCCCCCAAGGCCAAAGAGGTTCAGACTATTGGAGTGCAAAGAACGCCATGGAGTTTCCTACTGATGTTCTATCCAAACACACAAAAAAAAAGAAAAAATTGAGGATACAGTGTTTCAAGACCGCGCAATTGTCATTCAAAGTGCGACAGCGCTGAAAGCTGAAAATTGGCTTGGGCAGGAAGGGGATAAGTGTCCGGTATTGAAGTGGTTAAAAACAACAGCAACTTTTGCTGCAATTTTGATTTAGATGCTGCTTCATGCAATAACCTCTTTTCACCACTAGATGTCCTCCATCCTCTGGGTTGATCAAATGCTGCCATTGTGGGGTTTCTCATTCTACAACTACTAGTTCCCTGGCTATCATGCTACCTTCTTGCTTTAATACTTTACATTTCTGACATCGAAGCAGGGGCGGACTGACCATTTGGAAACTTGGGCACTGCCCGAGGGCTCGGGATCAGTAGGGGGCCCCATGAGATGCCCCTGCTACCTTTTTCATAGGCTTTTTTGAGGCAAGGACACGGGCCCCATGATCCCCTATTGCCCGGGGGCCCCATGAGTTGTCAGTCCGCCCCTGCATAGAAGTATGGACTTCTGACTTTACTCCAGACAACTAGCTTTTTCAGAAAAGTCAGGAATGACAAACCCAATTTTTATCTTTTGAAAGGTTTACTTTAAAATCCTCAACTAAATATAGTTTTTAAAAGAAATTTGTGCTGTTGATTTCCTTTTTAAAGATTCTCTTTGTTTGGCTGCTTCTCTGTCTTCGTTTTATCTCAGGGCTCGTTCACACCATGGTGCAGACACATACGTTTTTCTGCAAGGGTACAACAAAACCAATTGTTACTGACTAGTATTATGTGCACATTTTGTTGTTGTGCAGGAATCTGCAAGTTATATAAAACTCATTGAATCGTGTATGTAAACTGATGTTTCTGCAAGTGAAATCTGCAGGTCAGTTTCCATCAGTTTTCATGCACGTATAGTGTGAATGACAGTCATTAACCACTTCCCATCTGGCCCATGTATATAAACGGCTGGACGGTGGCAGTGCAGGGTCGGGTGGTCGTTTCTAAACAGCCTCCCTGCCCCCTGCTTGTGCGCGTTCCCTGGGAGCGCGCAGCCCTGCGATCCGGTGCCCACTGTGTCCGGAGTGAACACCGATTGTCGGACAGGACCTCTGTGTGAGGTCCGATCATGTGATCACTGATTGGCCAATCAGTGATCACATGCAGAGTAGTAAGCAAGGTGTCACTTCTGACATCATTGCTTACTATGTGTGAAATCTGTGAATGATCACAGAGATCACATGGTACAGGGCTATTCACAACAGCCTTGTACTATGTGACAACCTGTGACCAATCACAGCTCACACAGTATTTCTCAATGGCTGCAAGAATGCAGCCAGATAGAAGGAGAAATGATTGCTTTTACAGCCATAAACGGCCGGACGGTGGCAGTGCTGGGTCGGGTGGCCGTTTATAAATGGCATCCCCGCCCCCTGCTTGTGCGCGTTCCCTGGGAGCACACAGCACCTTGATCCGGTGCCCGCTGTGTCCTCCGGACACAGTGAAACACCGATCGTCATACGGGACCTCTGTGCGAGGTCCCAATCATGTGATCACTGATTGGCCAATCAGTGATCACATGTAGAGTAGTAAGCAAGCTGTCACTTCTGACATCATTGCTTACTATGTGTGAAATCTGTGAATGATCACAGAGATCACATGGTACAGGGCTATTCACAACAGCCTTGTACTATGTGACAACCTGTGACCAATCACAGCTCACACAGTATTTCTCAATGGCTGCAAGAATGCAGCCAGAGAGAAGGAGAAATGATTGCTTTTACACCCATAAAGGCTGTAAAAGCAATCAGTGTAAAAAAAAAAAAAATGTATATATTCATCACCCCCCACAAGTAGTACTGCTAGGGTGACAGTATGTTAAAAAAAAATATATATAAAAAAAAGTTTAAAAATGATAATTTTTGGTTATAAACTAATTTGGGTTTTTTTTTTTTTTTTTTTTTTACTAAAAAGATAACGGAATAAATTTTGGCCAAGATTTATGATGAAATGCTATTTATTTGCAAATTTTTATAAGAAAGGCCACTTTTTTCAAAAATTTTTGGACTTTTTCATTTACATAGCAAAAAAAAATAAAAATCCGAGTGGTGAATAAATACCACCAAAATAAAGCTTTATCTGTCTCAAAAAAATGCTAAAAAATTCCTATGGGTACAGTGTTGCATGACCGCGCAATTATCATTCAACGTGTGATATCGCTGAAAGCTGAAAATTGGCCTGGGCAGGAAGGGGGTAAAATTGTCCGAACTTGAAGTGGTTAAAGTGCATAGATAGAAGTGAAAAAAAATCACTCAATGCATAAATGTTGATTAAATATAAATAGAGTCCAAAAAGGAAAGATCTAAGAAAAATAAGTGCATCAAATATGAATCTCTATGTGAAAGAGTGCATTGATATACATTGAAAGCAGCCGAAGGTCCTGTGCTGACAACCTCTTCACTGCTGTGCTCCACACCAATGGTACCAAAGCTGCTTACCTCAAATCATGGGAGGTCTAACAGCATTTATAGGGAGAAATCCCAAACTGGATGGATGGGTGTATGGTCTCCTCCGGTCCTGCACGTTGTTATATACTAGGCATCTATTCGCATAAGTAGCAAGAAAATCGGTATATCAAAAAAACAGCATCCAACACCCCAGCAGGCGTGATGACGTCACTACTGTAGCTCTGCCCAGGGGCATATGGTGTTTAATTGGGATGTTAAAGAAGCTCATATAGGTGTGATGGTCAAGTTTCTACAAATGTTTGTGTGTATGGTGTGTTCAGAGTTGTACTACTTTACCTGTTATATCATCCACTCCTTGCTACACTTTATCGCCCTGTACAGTTCTGCAACACCAAAGAGACATTGAGCGCACAGATAGCTTCCGTGAACAGTTTGGCGAAGATTGGTTGCAGTACCGCTCTCACCTGGAGGAGGAGCTCAATAAGGACCGAAATGGCAATACCCCCAGAAATCCCGTATATTCCCAGCCTTTCACGAAGAGCAAGTCATCGCCCATAACACTGCAGACAGCTGGCAGAACAGGCAGCCTGTCACCTGTCCCTGCAAACCCAGGTCCAGCTAGACCTCCCACCCCGGAGGTCAGCACAGCCCCTCTAGCCGCAGATCTGCTGATAGAAAAGATAGAGGATGTCCTGGAGGATGGATTGTGGGAGCCGCAGACAATCGACAAGACAGAGGAGGAGGAGGAGATTATAAAAGGTAAGGTGTGCATGTTCTGTAACTGATACTGTCCCATTGCACCTTCATTGATTTGATACAATGGCACTGTGCAATTCATTGTCAGGGGCCCCTTTGGGGAGATTTGCCCTAATGTCCGGTTTGTGTGACACCTGTAAAAGAAAATGGGGGGTGGGGGCATCAATGAGATGAGGACGAACAGAAAGCAATTAGAAAACATTTTCAGATTTTTATCCTTCCCAGCTGTACACCTTTTTTTTTACCCGTTTTTTTGTCTGTGTCTCCGTTGCAGATATGCCCCATTATTTCTTGTCCTGACAGGAAGTGAGGATAAATTTCTCCCTTAAAGGAGACACAGCAAGGAAAACCTGACATAGGTTCTAGCCCTTCCCACTCTTTTGAAAACTAAATAAAAGCTTTTGTCTTTTCTATCCCTCGGAGAACCAGTCTTCAGTAAAAATGAATTCTCTTCTATTAGTTTAGTTATTTTCTATATTGTACATGAGTTGGAACATAAACATCAATATTTCCACATGGAAGAAAAATATATTTTAAAAAATATTATTCCCAAATATATTGGCCTATATTTGAAATACTACAATTTTGGCTGTATTAAATATATTTTAAGATATATTTCAATAAAAATATATATTGTATGTTGAAATGCGTTATTACAAAATATATGAAAAATACTTTTAAAATTACATTACATATACTCTGTCTGTAAACATGCGTTTAGCCTACATTTTTGGAATGCATTTACAAATATATGTTAAAAATATATGTTAAAATGATTTTATGTGTTAAAAAAAAAATCTGAAGATATAATATTTGAAAAAAATATATTTTTAAAAATTTTTCATATTTTGTAATATATAAAAACGCATTTCAAACATGTATGTATGTATGTATGTATATTATATATATATATATATATATATATATATATATATATATATATATATATATATTTTTTTTTTTTTTTTTTTTTTTTTCTACATACATTTATTTCAGGTAAGTGTACAGCGCCGTCAATTTACGCAGCTCTTTACATATATATTGTACATTCACATCAGTCCCTAACCCTCAAGGGGCGTACAGTCTAAGGTCCCTAACTTACATTCATACATACACATACTAGGGCCAATTTAGACAGGAGCCAATTCACCTACCAGCATGTCTTTGGAGTGTGGGAGGAAACCGGAGGACCCGGAGGAAACCCACGCAGGCACAGGGAGAACATGCAAACTCCAGGCAGGTTGTGCCGTGGTTTGGATTCAACCCAGCGACCCTAGTACTGCCAGGCGGAAGTGCTAACCACTTAGCCACTGTGCTGCCCACATACATACATGCATACATACATGTTGAAATGCGTTTGTTATATATTACAAAAAACATATGAAAATATTTTTAAAAATATAATTTTTTCAAATATATTCTTCAGATATTTTTTTAATTTATATTTGTAAATGCATTTCAAAAATGTAGATTGAATGCATGTTTAAAGACATACAGTATATTTGAAAATGTATTTTTCATATATTTTGTAATAACGCATTTCAACATACAGTATATATATTTATTGAAATATATTGAATACAGCCAAAATTGTAGTATTTCAAATATTTGTCCATATATTTGGGAAAAATATATTTCAAATACATATATTTTTCTTTCATGTGGGTTGTCCTAATACTTTGGACTCCAATGCTCTGTACAATGATAACTTTTACTCATTTGTCATTTTGAAACACTGTGTTAATATTTGCAACTTTTACAATAAAAAAAAAAAAAATGTTCAGAATAAAAAAAATGAATTTGCACGCTTCAATTGAGTTGTTATGGTGCAGCCTTACCTATTTTTTTGTTCTTTAGTTACTTGTATTCTCTCCTTGGCAGAGCAGAAAATGTAAAGCCATATAGTAATTTTATATTCGATCTCAATAAACTTCCTTTATAGGATAAATAATCATTTTTCTGCTCATTGCATTTGTGTTTACCTCTCTAGATGCCCTATGCTTGCCAGTAACTGTATGCCCTATTTTGGATGGGCAGCCACGTAACCCTGACTGGCCATGGGTCTTTGTGCGTGTAACTCGCCAGCACCTCCTGGAGATCGATCTGGAACGTGGAAGGGTGCTGGTTCGGAGGGAGCTTCAAAGTTTGCGGGAAATTCAGACCTCGGTCACTCAGTGGGACTGGAATGTAAGAAGAGGCGGGCTGCCTCAGTTTGGGCTCAGTCTGCAAGTAGAGTTGTGTGTTTTTTGGCAGCTTGGCACCTGTTCCATCATACTAATAATGAGGAATTATGGGTAATGACGAAGTCTTGTAGAACCCAGGATGGTTCAGCAACATTATCCTCCTGCAAGACCATAGTGTAACTACATGTAACCAACCTTCCTGTCCGGCCTATAGCAGATTGACAGCTGGGTGGGACACTCGCCGTTGTGACTGGGTGTCATATGACCACCTGTCAAAACGAGCAGCGGGGCCGCGCAGCGGCGCGATCTGTCACTGTCTGTGTCCACGGGATGACATATCACTACACCAGCCCGTTGCCGGTGTCACATGACCGCTGTGACCGATCACAGCAGATCACATGTCAATTGTATACAATGGATGGCTTCCTGTCATGCCATCCGTTGTATACAATTATGTTGTTAGCTGTGACTGGTCAAGGCAGTCACATGATACAGACAGGGCCAATCACAGCCCATCTGTATCATGTGATGAGCTTTGCCCAATCACAGCTAATCACAAAAGACTGAATGAATCCGTTTAATTCAGTAACAATGTTTGCAAATATCAATGAAATACATTGTTATTAGCAATCATGTGTTTAAAAAAAAAAAATCCTGATCTCTTGCCCAGTGTAGTTCAATTTTACTATGGTAACATTGTATTGCTTTGGCCACAGTGTGCTAAAAAAAAAAAAAAATGAAGAAATTAAATAGCAACATTCCAAAAAAAAAATACAAATTCAATTATTATTTTCACCAAAGAAATATAGCAGAATACATTGTGACCTAAATTTATGAAGGAATGTTATTTGCAAAATATTATATCAGAAATGAAGAAAAGTGTTTGTTTTTTTTTTTGGTTTTTTTTTTTAAATAGAAAAATAGAAAAATTCAGTGGTGATTAAATACCACCAAAAGAAAGCTCTATTTGTGTGAAAACAAATGATACTTTCATATGGGTACAGTGTTGCATGACTGCGGAATTGTCATTCAAAGTGCAACAGTGCTGAAAGCTGAAAATGGGCCTGGGGAGGAAGGGGGGTATAAGTGCCCAGTATTGAAGTGGTTAAGAACAGGAGACTATGGGGAGGTATGCAGAGTAGAACTCATGTTGGTTAGATTGATCCCTGGCTCCTCCGCTAATATGCCTTTTTTTATAAAATTATTTTTCAAATATGTAATCTACCTTCATACTCTCAAAAGTGTTTGCAAATAAATGTATGTAGCCATTAATTTATAACCGAATACTTTTTCTATATACTGATTGGGCACAATTAAAGCTAAACTCCAGGAATTCAGGCACTTTGTAAAATCTGCTGGCATACTGTGAGTTAAGTTCAACATGGTGCATGCCACCTCATGGACTTATCGCTTTCATTTACATCTGACAGTTTTTTATGGAGCTCTGGGAGTTCAGCTATTGCTACACTCCCAGGGCCCTGCCAGGAGAGATGCTTTTCTCATATACAGCAGCAGCTGTGCCTGCCCCTCCCATGCACTGTCCATTCGCAGAGGTCTTTGTATTTTATGAATGAGTTCACATAATACAAAGCACTCTGTGTAACTGGACTGTGGAGAGGAGGGGCAGGCACTGCAGCTACAGTAAGTAGTTGAGGTACATCGTTGGCGCACCAGAACTATAGCAAAAGCTATGTTCCTGGTGCTTGGTAAACATAAAAATTAAAGAGAAGTCCACAAGGTGGCATGTACCTTGTTGGTCTTAATCCCTGGTATTCCAGTACATTCCACAAAGTAGCGGAATTCCTGGAGTTCGGCTTTGATGCAATCCTAACCAAGTGAGGAGTTGGGGCATCTGAGATGGACTCTAAAAATATTTCAACAAGTTTCCTTGGATGCATCTCCTACATCGCTTACACAGGAAAAGGCACGGTCAGCAGTTGAAGTCAACCAGTTTATTTGTATAATCTGGACAGTCTCATACTGGAACATGATGACTTCCAAAGGAGAAAGAACAGGGATTACCTCATATATTTGCTGCAGGTCCTTTATTGTCCAATCAGCAGGCTGCAGAAAGACAGGTGACTAATGTAGAAGAATAGCAAGTTTTTTTTTTTTTTTTTTTTTTTTGTTTTTTTTTCCTTTTAGGTCACCCATCAGATAGACAACCAGGATTTTTTATGGGGAAAAGGTTTCAAATACTAGCACGCAGGATGCTTGGATGCGATGGGCATAGAACTGATATTTTTGTGGTTATGGCTTTCAATCAGTTCTGCTGTAATACCCGTTTATCTCTTTTAGGGGGAGGAGCAAGAGCTTCCTGTGCTGGCGCTGTTCTTCCATTCGGTATGTGAGGATAAGCAGTGTGCCCGCTACGTGGTACTGGACAATACGTCTGAGATCTCCATAAAGGTGAGCCATTGGCAAGACCACACCAAAAGATTATGAACCTGCTTTACCATTCGCAGGGTGTGACATGACAGTTAACCTCCTCGGCGGTATAATTCTTTACGATTTTTTTTGTGCTGAAAGCGGTACCATTTTTTTGCATGGAAATATGTAGT